TATATATATATATATATATATATATATATATATAAACGTATGCAAACACTTTCTATAGAAATTAACCTCTTTTCCTGGCTCTCTTTCTCTCTCTCTCATAATATTCACAGTTCCTCGCTCATACTGCTACTTTCTTTCATTGTTTACGCCTTCTTATTCCACCCAGTCATTCATTCATTCACTTAATGCTTCTTCCCTCTTCCGTTCAGTATATACCGCCAACCGTTCTCGTGACACACATACACAAGCAAACACACACATCATATTTAACGCATTGTCTAGAGTGAAAGTCTAAATAGTTCAGTGAATTGGAGGAGTGCCAAAAAAATTATTATAAGTGTAAATTGACGACTTATAGATGAACTTTACTAAATTAATAATGATTAGTAACAGCAGATTATTATTGATGGATTGAGGTGGATAAAATAAATAATCGGTATGACAAATACATACGGTCGTCGGTAGGGGTAGACGAAGGCTGCTGTTACGGAGTGAAAAAGTTGCCAATAGTTAAAAGACTACTTGATGGCAACTCTGTACGGCGCACATACAGGGGCTGTAATTGGGTGTTTCATGCCGGCAAACTGCCCTACAGCATTTTTATGAATGTAATTTTGATTGCTACTTTTTTTTGGTTTTTTTTTCCTTTCATTTGATTTTTTTCCTTTATTTTTTTCTTATTCGTGCTGATCTTGTTGAAAAACCGGTTATTTTCCGATGTTAAGCTGCTTTAGAACATTTTTCAAAGAAACATTTGATTTGCCAATCTGATTTCAGCAGTCCTCTTTTTGTTTCTTTTTTTTTAAATTTTTTTCTCACTGCATTTTTTTCTCAAAACAAACGTTTTACAGGTCGTTATTTTACAGTTTACTGTTGCCATTTATAATTTAAGAAGCTCGAAAAACAGTTAAATGAAGGGACTATTCCAGGTTATATATATATACGCAGCTGTTGAAAATTGGTCCTTTTTTGTTAGGAGTCGACGAACAATTAGATTACATCACGTCTTTTTGAGGTTCCTCTTCAAAGCAGCTGTATGCAGTTTTATCTGGCATGTGATTTCAAGAAATTAGAAGAAAAAAGCACATTCATAGAGCAGTTAACGTTGTATTTCTCAGTTTTTTCGGCTGAAAAAATATCAGGAGTGGCGTCTATTGAATTACGAGTATCGAAAAGCTTTTATCACATTAGTTGTTATTGTAGTAGTTGAAAGAGCATTTTATGGCGAGTGAAAAAGTTGCGTTGGGTATACTGACGTTTTTATCTCTGCTGCTGGCGGTGGTTTTTGCAGAAATGTAGATTTTATTTGTCGTTTTTCTTTAAAATTTGCAAAAAACAGACTTATCAAAACCCCGCCGTTAGATATCTTTTTTTTTTCTTTTTCCTCTATTTTATCCACAGTTTAATGTGGATATGAGATGGAAAAGGAAGGTTTTAGAGAAAAAAAGATTTGATTTTTTCATTTAATTCATGTTCAATCTATTTCGAATTCGGAGATTTTTTCAAATCAAGTTTTTTTTTCGAAATAGTAAATGATTAAAACTGCAAAGAAAAGTGAAGAGTTTTTGTTTTTATTTTTTTTTTTTCTTTTTTATTTTTATCTTCCTGACTGATAGTACGTGCAGAAGTATTTCCAAACCTTACTGGTATTTTGACAACTTTGATTTGTAATTGACGATGACAGATGTTTTCAGATCTAACAAGTAGATGAATGAAACAAAGGCAATATGGAGGTATCGGTAGATGTGTGAAAGATAACAGGAGTTGATTTGCTGAAAAAGCAGAGG